TTTCGTTATTGGATCATCTTTCTACACTGTACATACATATGCAGCTAAATAAGCCCCCTGGTTTGGAATATATGGTTGTGATTTCGGATGAACTACCTCTGTGGTCCACACCAAGAAATTATTATTATTATTATTATTATTATTATAAGATTACTAGAATTGTTATTATTGTGTCTTAATCTGTAAACAGTAAAAAATACTGCACCAATAAATATCACTTTAAATGAACAAATATTGTCAGTGAAGTGGAACATGTAGGTGTCCAAATTAATTGTTAATCAGATGATATACATTACAATGCACTGTTCAAACAATGCAAATTGCAATCCAGCATATGTTCAATTGAAAGCGATTCAATACAATATGTTTACCGATGTTGACAAGTCTATCCAGAATTCATTGGGTCCAGCCAATTGTTTAGATTCAATACAATATGTTTACCGATGTTGACAAGCCTATCCAGAATTTATTGGGTCCAGCCAATTGTTTAGATTCAACACAATATATTTACCGATGTTGACAAGCCTATCCAGAATTCATTGGGTCCAGCCAATTGTTTAGCAAATCGTTCTTCTTCAATTGAGTGAAGTGACGTCAAATGTCCACCATACAAAAAGCAGTATCCTTCACCTTCATCCCATTCAGCATCTGCAGCTACTGCTCTGTAACAGTTGCCTTCCCATGGCGTGAATGTATCGGGACATGTCCCTGTTAATAGAAACAACAATATCTGAGTCGTCCATTTATATTGAAATGAAATGTTACTATCTGACACGATATTTACTATTTATATACAAGTCATTACTGCATAAGTTGTATTGATAAATTATGGTATAATAATAACAATCACAAACTCACCTGACACAACTCCCACTAAAACTAGAGCAGCAATTAACTTCAGCATTGTCGATGTCCTGAGGAACAATTGAGATGTAAAAAACAATTAAAAAGTCTGTATTCTGACTATACATGAAATAAACAGTTTTTGAGATTATATGTATACATACAATTTGTAATGTCTAACGTACCTGTTTATCGATGACAGAGAAATGTGTTTGGTCAGCTTGTAGTGCCAAGATCATAACAAGTGTCTCTTATATAGAAGAGCACTGTTTATTAGGGACGTATGCTATCAAGTCTTATCTATGATGTGATATTCGCACCTGTTGTTTTCAAAAAAATGTGCAAACAATGATAATCTCAAATTGACATTGAACTTTATTATATTTATTATTATATTACTAGTGTTTGGACACTGTGCCAAATCTTGATTCATTATTAATGGTATACCAAACTTCATATGATTCCGTTTTGTGATTGTGATTTCTTGAAAAGATCAAGACGTAGGAGATCATAATTTAAAATAGAATATTATAATATGTACACGGATATAGAGCCGTACTATTTGTGTTCGTATAAAGGGTCATAAGATATGCGCCCGGATAGAGGGTCATAATATGTGAGTCCAGATAGGGGGTCATAATATATGTGTCCGTATGGAGGGTCATAATATATGAGTCCAGATAGGGGGTCATAATCTATGTGTCCATATAAAGGGTCATAATATATGTGTCCGGATAGAGGGTCATAATATATGTGTCCATATAGAGGGCCATAATATATGTGTCCATATAGAGGGCCATAATATATGTGTCCATATGGAGGGCCATAATATATGTGTCCGGATAGAGGGTCATAATATATGTGTCTATATAGAGGGCCATAATATATGTGTCCATATAGAGGGCCATAATATATGTGTCCATATGGAGGGCCATAATATATGTGTCCGGATAGAGGGCCATAATATATGTGTCCATATAGAGGGCCATAATATATGTGTCCATATGGAGGGCCATAATATATGTGTCCGGATAGAGGGTCATAATATATGTGTCCATATAGAGGGCCATATTATATGTGTCCGGATAGAGGGTCATAATATATGTGTCCATATAGAGGGCCATAATATATGTGTCCATATAGTTGGCCATATTATATGTGTGCGAATAGAGGGTCATAATATATATGTCCATATAGAGGGCCATATTATATGTGTCTGGATAGAGGGTCGTAATATTTGTGTCCATATAGAGGGTCATAATATATGTGTCCGGATAGGGAGTCATAATATATGTTTCCGGATAGAGGACCGTAATATACGTGTCCAGATAGGGGGTCATAATATATGTGTCCATATAGAGGATCATAATATATGTGCCCAGATAGGGGGTCATAATATACGTGTCCGAATAGAGGGCCATAATATACGTGTCCAGATAGGGGGTCACAATATATGTGTCCATATAGAGGGTCATAATATATGTGTCCGGATAGAGGGTCATAGTATATGTTTCCGGATAGAGGGTCATAATATATGTGTCCGGATAGAAGGCCTTAACATATATGTTCGTATAGAGGGTCATAATATATGTATACAGATAGGGGGTCATAATATATATGTCCGTATAGAGGGTCATAATATACGTGTCCAGATAGGGGGTCATAATATATGTGTCCATATAAAGGGTCATAAGATATGTGTCCGGATAGAGGGTCATAATATATGTGTCCAGATAGGAGGTCATAATATATGTGTCCGGATAGAGGACCATAATATATGTGTCCATATAGAGGGTCATAATATATGTGTCCGATAGAGGGCCATAATATATGTTCATGGTTCAGTACAATCACTTATTACTGGCTTTTAGAACAATACTGTTCACCAGTGTAGACAATCGTTGTGGCGACGACGTCATATATATGGTGACGTCATTGCTGACGTCAGAAGTCCGTCGACCTTGTGAAGCCGATGTCATTTGAAAGCTAGTAGTTGAGTTAATCTAATTTGATTTTTAGGTCAACCCGGACAAAATTGCAACAGAAAGTTTCTTTGCAGATTTAGCAACAATAGACATCTATAAACAACACATCAACAGTCTACCAAAATCGGACAATGGGAAAGTTGATTTTTTCAGGCATTGATATTGCCCATATAATGGAAATATTAAGCCATTTTATTGATGCAGTAAGACGTACATATACAAATGCATATGGGATAATAATGGTCAATATATCCACATATTTATCACACTTACCTCACTTATCATATTTAGTCAGCTAAACATTTTTTTTTGCGCATGGTGAAACAAATAGCGCCCTCTATATGCATGTACAGCGCCACCAAGTGGTGATATTTTCAGAAATACACAGGGTCTGGTATTAGTGAAGCCATGTATTCGCAGCATGCATATGTGTTGGAAATCGCTTCCAAAGGTAAGAGGCTTTATCGTTCTTGTTTCTTGTAGTTTAACCCATGAGTGTGTTCAATTGTTATGCTTTCAGTTTACTAGTTAGTATCCCAGAAAATTATCTCCAAGTTAAAACATTAATTCGCCATATAACTACTTTAATAAATTGTATCTGCATATACGTCAGAGGGTTTCACAGATATATATAAAACAATAATATATTTGTCATTTTTTATCGTTTTCGAATTGTGTATGCAGTTTTATTTTCACTTTGACGTATCCTTCATGTTAATAGTTGTGCAACATTGTAGACGCCGCATAACAGCAGGTGCAAGTTACAGGTTCAGGTTATTAGTGTATCAGTGGTTGTTGCAGGAGATTTCAGTGGTTCGATCGACTCTGTAATGAACTCCGCATACCCCGTTCATCTTGAGAAGACTTCATGCACATGCGCATTGGATGTGATGCCATAATGACCATCGTTTACTCGTCTGCGCATGTGTAAAATATTATTTTCATGAATTTTAATTTTTTATCGAAAGCTTTTATACCTCGCAATTTTGTTGCCTATCGGTGGTAGATTTGGCCTTAAAATTATGCCATAGTTAAGTGTTATCAGTAACGAGCTACATATAGCAAAAGGTAGGTAAGTAGAGATTTTGTTTTATTTATTATTTTTTGCCAAACCTCTTCTGAGTTTCTAAAAGATCTATTTCATTTATAAAGATGTATTTACTTGCCATGATGGAATCAACTATAACCATCCTAGATGATAAAATGAAATTACATTTGACCACCGAAAAGTTACTTATGTTATTCACACAATTTGGCGTATTTGATTACAACATTTGGGTGGTTAGAGTCACGTTAAACGCAGAAATGTAGATATTTGTCTTTATTACTGAATTCTATTTTGTATGACGCATTGAATGCTTTGTTTTAGAGAAGAAGTTATATTTTCTCCGGGGCAATGTCACGATAAGTTAATATATAATAGTGTTTTATGGGGAGAGGTGGTTTGCGATAACAATAACATGACTGAAACAATAACATGACTGAAACAATAACATGACGGATTACGTCGATACTTATTTATACAATGCACACATCATGGTGTGTGTCTAGTACACATAAGTGACATGATGATCAAAACCCCTTTAAAACATGCAGTAATCTGAAACACAAGCTTGAGAACCTCAGGTAAATAAAAAAGTTATTATTATTTAACAAAATAATACACATTTCGAAAAAACAAACTACAAGCATTTTTCAGACAAGCCAGATCCCACATTTTGTTTCATGATCGGAGATGGCGACATCGAAACATGTAACTACAAAATTTACCCGCGTGTGCGTGTTTCGGCATCTTAGACACCTGTTTTCATAGATGGCCGATTCATAAAGTAATGGTCACAACCGGTATTTCGATTATAATATTTTGGTTTGTTATTATTAATTCGTAAATTTGTGTTATTTATTGATATTAAGCGCAATAAAGACAATATGTAATCGTTTAATTTGTTTATGGCCGCTTCATGACCCTTACGCAAAGGGCACTATCAGGGGTAAAAATCTCTCTCTCGGGGTTCTCCACACTTGTCAGGGGGGAATCTCGTCTCGTCTCTCTATCTCGTCCCCTTGAGGTACGGGATCGGGAAAGTCACTTTAACTTTACAGTCAAATAAGGCACACACAACGAAATACGTTTCAACTCTCGTCTTAGTCGATCTTTTGGAGAACTCTATAAGACACAGCGCCCTGGGGAAAAGTCCCCAAGACTCTCATAAGGCTGAACCAAGACTCGCCCAAGACTGGATTGCCTCAAGGCTCGCCCCTGGACTGGACTCTCGACTGCACTCTCTCTTCTGCGTCTATCGTGCTGTGTTCGTCAAGACCAACTCAAACTCTCTTTATTCATTTTCAAAACTCTAACCAATTACAAAGCAGTAAAAAGACTCTAGGGCGTAACCTTCAATCATAAAGCCAATCACACTAAGTACTGAATACGTCATATCTTTTGATTAATCGTTCACTACATTAATAACTATGGATGTAAACTGTCAGAATGAGTAGTCTAAAAAACGGCGGTTATCTGGTAATTAGTTCCAAATCACTGAGCCAAGTTCCGTCCAAAACTTCAAATAGACCTAAACGATGACAGACATAACACAGCAATTCAGCTAATAATCAACTAATTAAGTCGGTTAACAGATACGCGAAAACAAATTCATGACAGCACCAACATTTACAAGTGAAAAGTCGATTGAGGTTGACCACAATGAGTAATCGAAACTTGCACCTCGGTGTCAGCTTCTTTCAAACTACATACGATGTGGACCAAGTGAATTTGAAAATCTTTCCATAGTTAATTTGTGAATTCCTTGCGGAGATTGCAAGCCTTGTCGACTTTTTAACATTGTGGCAGTAGTGGAAATAAGTTATATCATGTAAACTTGTGCGTGGTGGATAGTGTTGTCCATTTCAATCTACGGTTTGTCCATAGTTTGTTGAAAACTGAAAACAGTTTGAACAATGATTATATATTCACTAGTAATGCTAGAAACC